CTACTTTGGCTGACTGCTGGCTGCCAGCAGTTTGGCAGTTACAGTCCCACCGGCTCAAGGTTGACTCAGCCTTCCATCCTTCCGATGTCGGTAAAATAATGACCCAGATTGATAATGATAATGATGATAAAGTTGGAAGGGACCTTGGAGGCCATCTAGTCCAACCTCCTGCTCAGGCAGGAAACCCTATACCATTTCGAACAAATGGCTGTCCAGTTTCTTCTTAAAAACGTCCAGTGTTGGAGCATTCACCGCTTCTGGAGGCAGGTTGTTCCACTGGTTAATTGTTCTAACTGTCAGGAAGTTTCTCCTTAGTTCTAGGTTGCTTCTCTCTTTGGTTAGTTTCCACCCATTGCTTCTTGTCCTGCCTTCAGGCGCTTTGGAGAATAGCCTGACTCCCTCTTCTTTGTGGCAGCACCTGAGATATTGGAACACTGCTATCATGTCCCCCCTCGTCCTCCTCTTCGTTAAACTAGACATACCCAATTCCAGCAACCGTTCCTTATATGTTTTAGCCTCCAGTCCCCTAATTGTTGGAGGCAATTGTTGGAGGCAATATGCTCTAAAGCACTGTGAAGTGGTATATAAGTCTAAGTGCTATTGCTATGTCTTCTTATCTCTTATCCTTGCATTACCAGTAATGTGTGACCATATAAGCCAGTATGATAGTAAAGAGACATAGGTTTAAATAAGCTATGGAAACTTACTAGGTGACTTTGATGTCACAAGCCTCTTTTAGCCCAATCTACTTCACCAATTTGCCATTACATGGATAAAATGAAATGTGATCACATTTAATCTTTCTTGAGCTCCTGTCTTAAAAAATATTGGTCCTTATAACCCAAACAAAACTATTATTAAAGGTGTACTTGAATTTCCAGTAAAGAGCTTATTCTAGGTAGATACTAGGGGAAAAAACAAGCCACTACGGGGAAAAAGTTCCTATCATTTTCTTTCTGGAAAGCAACAGCAATGTAAGATAAGTTGCAGTAAGAGAGTGACTTGCCTAAATATACTTGAGCTCCTTAATCAAGTATAGATGGACAGAAAGCTATTTTCTGGCCAGGTGGCCATTCAGAATCTAATCACCAATTCTATTTAGAAAATAACAGTTGAATGGTAGCAAACNTTTCAACATATATTTTGGACTAACTTTTCCTGTAGGTATATAGAAGCAATGGTTCACTGTGCAAGCACACGTCATGCAGCAGCCATTGTGGATGATTTACATTGTAAGGTTCTCAGAGAAGCTATCCAGAATAGAAAAACATCATTTTCAGAAAACGTACGTATAATTATCTAATTAAATTTCTTATTATGGCAAAGATGTATTATTTCCATACAGCTTTTTGCCTCCCAAAAATGTGCTATGGCTTTTTTTCTTATTTGGCATACAAACAACAACAGAATAATCATATTGTATATCTAGCCATCAAAGGTTATAGATGAGGAGGAAAGTAAAGCCTTGCTTCAAGAGATGGGATAGAACAGGAATACGCTATATTTGTTCTAATTAGTTTTTATAAATAAGTATCTGCTATAGTACATAAGCAAAGAAAAAATTCTTTTATTTAGCAGTTCTTTTTTTTTTAAATAAAGTTTTATTGTTTTTTATAATTAAACAACAAATACCACTATGATGCATTTACATACACAAGCAATAATCCAAATCAATACCTTTTTCGGAGACGCTCGGCGGTCCCCGCCTTGCCTCCACCCTCATCACTTTCCTGTCCTTCCTCCCTCTAATCCCACAACCTCTCCACCTTCCTCCTTTCCACCTACCTACATCCCTTCTCCCTTCTTAACCGCCTCTTCGAGAGCAGTTTGGGGTGCCAGCCGAGCATCTCCTCTTTTCCATACAATTATTATTTAACTATAACATATAAATACATCAATTTTTATAATTTCAGTCCCCTAATCCCCTTCCCCCCTCCCCCCCCGACTTCCCAGAGCTGAATACAGGATTAAACGTATAATAATCCAAATTTAACCCAAACAACCCAATCATAATATAAACAAATATAAACTTACTTTAACTCTAACATACAATCACCTTAACTATGAACTATATATGTAAATTATATATAGAAATATTTATAAGTAACAATAATTATTCAAAAGCTATATGATAATTGTTCATTTCATATTTTCTCTGAATATAATCTATCCATCTTCTCCATACCAAAATAAATTTCTCTTGATATTGATCCTTCAGGTATGCGG